TCTATTCTATTCTATTCTATTCTATTCTATTCTATTCTATTCTATTCCATTCCATTCCATTCCATTCCATTCTAATTCTTTTCTTATTGTACCCTAGGACTATCATTAAGCGTTGTACCTGATGATTCTTGACGAACGTACCTTTTCTTTTATGTACACTGAGAGCATTTTCACCAAGACAAATTCCTTGTGTGTCCAATCACAATTGGCCAATAAAAGAATTCTGTAAAAAGAATTCTTAAAAAAACCAACCAAGCTAAGAGAGCACCAAGGAACCCTAAAAGTAGAATAAGCTCCTCTGATTGTTATTTCCTCTCTGGTTGACCTAGCAAACCGGACAAATGCAGACTGTTTCCCTCTTTTCCTTTTTTTCTCAACCTCCTTTGTTCTGCTTTGCCAGGCGTTGTCTTCATTCCAGCTACAATCCTTTTGACCGCTCCAGACATATTATACAGACTCCAGCAATCCAAAGTCAGTTGTATTGTTGCCAACGAGGCTACTGCACCATTAGTAGATGCTGTGGGGTCTGAATGCAGCTGGCTGAAAACTCGGATCCTGGTTTCCAAGAGCCACAAAAGGGAAGGTTGGCTGAACTTCCATGATTTGCTACAGTGAGTATCTTTCCTGTTGCTTCAAGACCTTTGTGGTACCAAGAGAGATCATCTATAAATGTTACCTATAGAGGATGAAAATCCTGGCATTTCTGCCAAATAGTATCTAAACTCACAAGCTTTATTGTCTACAGGTAGACTCATTTGTCTATTTCTATTTCTATCTAGAGATTTCTTGGGCTAACCTCCATATGTTGCTTGGCTCTGCTAACTTGCTCTGCTCCTAAATATCTGCGGAGCTCCTCAGTCATCCATTCCAGGTCATGGTTGTCCCAAAGGTGCTTTTTGCATCCTTTTAGAGAGTTGTTGAGGCCACTTGTAGGTTTGTCTGTGTCCTCGGGGTCACCTGAGTAGTGCCAATGGGTGTGGAGCTTCCTTGGAACTGCTGCAGATAAACCTCCAAGTCAGTGGTGGGATTAAAAAAATTTTTTACTACTGGTTCTGTGGGCGTGACTTGGTGGGCGTGGCATGACTTGGTGGGTGTGGCTTCATGGGCGTGGCAGAGGAAGGATACTGCAAAATCTCCATTCCTTCCCCACCCCACTAACCTGCTTTCCAGCTCCGTTCTCCTGTGCAGGGCAACCAAAGAAGACCCAGCCAGTCAACTGGGAGTCAATGGGAGGCAGAGAAGAGATGGAGATGGCAGGGCCAGTCAGAGGTGGGATTTGCCAGTTCTCCAAACCACTCAAAATTTTTGCTACCAGATCTCCAGAACTGGTCAGAACCTTCTGAACAACCACCTCCGCTCCAAGTGACCTCAACGACCCTCTAAAAAGGATGCAAATAACCAGCTCTGTCTGCCAGGAATATAAATCCTTCCGTTCCCCACCATCCTGTCAGAGCTGAAGAAGCTCCTTGGATGAGAAGTGAAACATCTTCAAAGAAAGTCCAGCTTCCTCTTGAAAAAAGCACCTTTGGGTTTCCCTCCTTCTGTTTTGCAGAGCCGCCTCTGACCAGCATCAACCTGTCCAGACGAAGTGTCTTGATCCGATGACCATCTACTTTACCAGTGGGACCATGGGCTACCCCAAAATGGTGCAACATTCCCACGGCAGTTTGGGCTTTGGGCTGGCCAGTGTTGCAAGGTAGTTCAATGGGGTCTGCAATTTGACCCATCTCTATGTATTTACTTAACCAATCTTTCGCTTAGCAACAGAAATGTTGGGCTTGACGGTGGTCTTAAGTCGAAGAATTACCTGTATCACAACTTCTGAGAGAAAGGTTTGGATGAACTTAACTTGCGGCTTCTTTGACCTGACCCCTTTCAAGCATGATCACCCCTATGATGGCTGCCTGCAATTTGGCAGTTCGATTCTGACCGTGATTTTGAGGTTGACTCAGCCTTCCATCCTTCTGAGGTGGGTAAAATGAGGACCAAGATTGTTGAGGGCCATAGGCTGACTCTGTAAACTGCTTAGAGAGGTCTGGAAAGTTCTGTGAAGCGGTATATAAGTCTGCTATTGCTTGGGAAGGAAGGAAGGAAGGAAGGAAGGAAGGAAGGAAGGAAGGAAGGA